GCTGACGCCCCCGAAGATAGGAAGAGAACCAGTCCAGTGTTTTGTCAGAGATTGCAAGATGGGACAGGATGGCCAAAAGGAGATCGTGACTGACCATATTAAAAGCGTTTGAAAAGTCAACTAATACCAAAACAGTTACTTTGGTATCCTCAATCCCTGCCCTAATATCGCCAGTCACTTTAAGGAGGGAGGAGACAGTGCTGTGTCCAGGTCGAAAACCTGATTGGAGAGGGCTTATTAAACTGTTTCCATAAACAAACCGTGACAGCTGCTTATGGACACAAGCTTCAAGCACCTTAGACAGGAAGGGAAGGATTGAGATTGGACGGAAGTGAGTGGGAAGAGATGGGTTACTAACCTTAGGCAGTGGACGAACAAAAGCTTTACGCCACAAGGACGGGAACACTCCAGAATACAAGGAATAGTTGACAATATGGGTAATTGCTGGAAGGAGATAAACCAGGATGGACGTGATCATGTCACGGGAGATGGAGTCACAGCCAACAGCTTTGGATTTAATGGAGAGGATTGTCTTACGAATCTCCTCCGACTGAACTGGTATGAAGCAGAAATTTTCGACCCCAGGACGAGGCAGACTGGAAATAGAAGACAATGTGTTTCGCTTAGTTAGGTGATCCAGAGATGAGACAGTGGAAAAATGATTATTAAGTTCATCTAAGCCAATCGAAGAAGGAAGGTTAGCGGGTTGCGGTTTGCCGATACCTAGAGTTCTCAAGAACTTCCAGATATCAGCTGGAGATGAAGAGGAAATATTATTGAGAATGTGGCGGCGTTTGGCGTTGCGTACCATCTGATTACATCTATTCCTCGCAGTTTTATATGCCGTCCAGTTCTCCTCTGTCCGATCCCTCTTGTGCTTCCGAAACGCGCGGTCCCTGCGACGCATAGCCGCCTGGATCCCTCTGGTCATCCATGGTGCCGGAGCACGTTTTAATCGGATTCTTTTGACAGGCGCATGATGGTCATAAAGGTTAATGACAGCTTTGTTGAAAATGTCAATCTTGTCATCAACCGTAGTAGCTTCCATTAGTGGTTCCCAGTCTATTCTGGACGCGTCCTCCAAAAGCTTCTCATTGTCCACCTTCCCGAAGCAACGTCTGTACAGTACCCTGGGTTTTGCCTTGGGTGGTTTCAGGATGTAGGAGAGGTATATAAGGTCATGATGAGAAAATGCCGGAGCGTCATGTTGACCATGGCAAGAGACGAGGGACGGATTAGATGTGAGGATTAGATCGAGCCAGGTGTCGTCCGCGACAGTATTGTGGTGAGTGGGTTGGAGTGGTAATATGTGCAGACTAGTTGACTCGACCAGGTGTAGGAGTTTGCGGGATCGAGGGGAGTGGGTAAGGAGGTCAGTGTTGAAGTCACCCATGATTACGAGATGCTCGTACATTGAACCCACGGATTCCAAAACTGATTCGATTTTATTTAGTTTTATGTATTTTTTATTTTTGATTTGCTATTTTTTGTAGTAAGTATTGCACTCAAATATTGCTAGCCGCTCACTTTCCAAGCTTTGTTGCAATACATAGTAGATAGTTTGCATAAAATGTGCCAAGTACGGCTCAATTCGATATATTAATACTTTAAAAGTTCTATGTGAATAGCTGAAGAGGTACATATCAATACATTATCAATAATTACACAATACACCGTACCTAAACAAATAATTTACCTACATACTACCTACCACTACCAGGTACTAGGCGCACAACAGTCGTAGAAGCTCCTTTGGTAATAAAATTAATCCGCCGTGTCCCTCATACTAGCGAGTATAGTCCCAAGTCCATTGACAGTTCCGTGCGATCCTGTTTGTTTCCTTTGTAGTAAGCTTCCACCTCAATGATTCTATTGTCTGTGATATCCATATCGACACTGGGTCCGATAGGTGTTTGAAATACTATGATTTTGCTTGTCATCTTCTTGGAAATGTTTCGAGTATTTCAGGGTCTTCTTTTTGTATGTGTGCGTAGATTTTCATCAAAAATCATAGTCAAAGTCAAAATCATTTATTTCGATTATACCAGGAAGGCACTTTTGAACGTCAACAGAAAAAAATGAATCTATTCTACCTTGGACTTCTATTGTTTACGTATTTCAAATTATGGAAAATCGTTGGGCTTCGCTCGCTTAATAAAAATGCAATTTCATTAACAGTTTCATTTTACAGGGACTACCTACTTAAGCAAGTTGCATATATACCAATCATAGGTTCTCTTACAATTTGTCCAACTCAACCAGTCTAAGTAAATTGTTCGAAAAATGATGCAAAAATCAACTTCATACAAAAAACCTCTTCATATTTGCCAGCCTCAAAATGATGGAGTATCACAGTCCTTAGCTGGAAAGTAGGTACAGTATAGTGCACTCCATGACTAGCGATGTTGGTAGGTCCTGCGAGACGCGCTCAATCTTGTTAACAGCGACACGCAATTATGTCCAATCTAAGTGTCTTGTTCACCTGCACTCCTGTTTAATGCCTATATGTAGCTACTGCACTAGTATTCTTACGTTCTTAAGCAATTTCTTTGGAGAGATTCTACTGGTACCGTAAAACGGGGTGAATAGAATTCGAGGGGTGAATAGATACAGGAATGGGGTGAATAAATGTTAGAGTAGGTATTTTCCCCACATGTATTCACCCCTTTTCTATATCTATTCACCCCTCGAATTCTATTCACCCCGTTTTACCGTACTGATAATTGTAATTGCAATGTTAAAATGTGGAATTCCGTTACTGTTCCATTCAAACAGGAACCGCGTATTTAAATTGTAATCTGATTTAGTAGGTAATGATTATTCAATAAAGAGCAATTAAGTAGCATATTGATTTAGCATTAAAATATCCTCTATCAATTCTGCAGTTATTAAAACTTCTTCAGTTATTTTCAAGTGTGGGAGAGCCATGCTTCGGCACGAATGGGCCGGCTCGGTCGGAGTGATGCCACGGCCTCACAGAAAACCGACGTGAGGCAATTAACGCTTGCGTTGTGTTTTGTCTTGTGAGTGAGATTACTGGAGGACCAATTACCGCCCATTCCCCTTCCCCAATCTCCTCAATCCCTGGATCCTCAACGATCTTCAAACTCCTATTCCTCTAAAGGGCGGCAACGCACTTGTAACGCCTCTGGTGTTCCAGGTGTCCATGGGCGACGCCGATTGCTTACCGTAAGGTGATCCGTCTGCTCGTTTACCGGCTTATACTATAAAAAAAAACTCTGAACTTGTATGACAGCCAGAGAACATGGCATACTATTTGAACTCATCCCTTAAATGACAGCGCTGTAACCAACACTACCATAACTCGCCAACGGCGTTTAAACCAACATAAACTCCAGAAATTCATAAAAAAATTTAATAATATTCCTGGCAAATCTGACCGCCGATTAAGCGTGAAGCTGGGACCTAATTAATGTTGCAATAAAAAACCGTCGTGCGTCGCCACTGGCTTGCAAACATTTGAAACAATAAAGAGGAGAATGAACGCGCGCCTTCCGCCATTGCCCTGCGATTACTCAGTTTCCGCTCCACAAGCGAAATGGTTCGTACTCATTGCTGCTATGATCCTTATATTACGATTTAAACTTGGTAAAATAAGAGAAGAATTATTGTAGTGGGTTTTATTAGCGGTTCAGTTCAGGTTTAGATTTGTTTCAGATCTGTTTTTTGTCTATCTTAGTATTGGTTGGGTACAGTAGCCACGGAGGACTTAACGGGTTGCTGGGGCTCCGGCTCGAAGTGCAGGAGTAGGAACGGGGTGGTTTTTAGTAAGTGAGAGTCTGACAGTAACTGAGTCCTTCCTGCCTCACCGGAGGGAGAAGACATTCGATGGTTTTCCCCCTTAAAAAAAGGCTATTGGCTACAATGGCTACTAACTAACTATTGTAGTCAATTCTTCGTTGGTTATACGATCAACCGATCGCCATCAAAGCGAATATTAGTTAATTGTTTCAACAATATCATATGTTAACATTAAAAGGTTGTTAACATTCGACTGCACGGTTGGTACGGTGGCTGGGCTGCCGTGTAACGTGTCGCGGGTTCGATTCCCGCACGGAACAACACTTTGAATGATCCACAAATTGTTGATTCGGGTCTGGGTGTCACGCACCCACGACATAGGAAATAAACCTAGTGTGGGGCAAAGTTTTAAAAAAAATATTCCTAATTAAGTTCGTTACCATTAAGTTGTCAATATTATTGTATATCTACGCCACTCGAAATAAATAAAATACTTAGTTAGATATGTTTTTGCGATAGTTACAACAAAGTTATAGGTAAATAGTTAAACAAACTTTCATTCAAAACATGTCTTATTATATTATATCTAACCATAAACCATTTTACTCCATATTTCCATAAAAGGAAGTAAAAACAACAGACGTTGCTCAACTGTTACCAAAATACAGGTACAATGTAGCACATTCTGCTCTCCGCCCAATAAATCTTTTAAGAGCTCGTCTTATCCATAATACATGGATGTATCGCTCTCTGAATTTATCCAATCTATCGCTTATTCGCCTCATCCGGCCAATGCTGATAGATAACTGGTTTAATGTATTATTTATTGTTGTTTTCATTTGTAGTCGAGGGCTGTGGGATATTGATCAAGTGCTCGCCTTCCCTGCAAGTCAATGGGGACTCCAGTGGATGTTGAGGTGGTGCTTACAACTTTCATGCGTTGATTTACTCACTTAAGCAGTTCGTTTTTGTTTTGGGTTGGTTTTGTAGTATTATGGGATGTTTTGTACGGTTAACAGTGATGTAGGAAAGGGATGATGATTTTGTTCAAAGGTGTGTTAGGAACTGAATTTATTTTGATAACTACGGGTGTCAGTTGATAGATTTTAGCGGCTTTTTCAAAGTTAAAGTCAAAGTCAAAATCATTTATTTCAATTAGACCAGGAAGGCACTTTTGAACGTCAACAACAAAAAAAAATATTATTAGATAGTTTCTTGTTATTAGTTTGATATTTACAGACTTGACTGCACGGTTGGCGCGGTGGCTGGGCAACTGGCTGCCGCGCAACGTGTCGCGGGTTCGATTCCCGCACGGAACAACTCTTTGTATGATCCACAGATTGTTGTTCCGGGTCTGGGTGTCATGTGATATTGTATGTTTGTAAACGCACCCACGACACAGAAGAAACTCCTAGTGTGGGGCAACGTTTAAAAAAAAATTTAGTTATCCAAATATTATAAAGTAAGAAAAGCAGAAAAATCTTATCCTTTAAGGAAACAGAACAATTTTTTAAGAATCTAAATCTCTTTCTCCTTAGTCTTTCACTGCAGAAGGTACGCTAAAGCTAAGTAGTTCAATATCGACTTCATGTCAACTTAGGTATGATTATGGAGCTAATTACCATATCGTCACAATAATCAATAACTCCAAAATTACCTAGGTACTGTAGGGGTCAGTGCACGGTGTACACACGCATGACAAATTAACCGGTGCCCGACTGTGCCGCTTGATTTGTTCCGATGATGGATAGTCGCTCCAATTTGTACTGCGCCTGTACATTACCGGCCAGTGATTGTTCACCGTAGATTTTGTTATTTTGTGATTTAGTACTTCAATTAATATAACCTCAAAAACTGGGTATAAACAAATTATTTGTGTTATTTGGACATTTCTTTCAGAACAAATGTAATAATATATATCTGCTTGAAGTCTAAAAAGACTCAAAAGTCTCACCTGTAACTCTCTTTGAAGTAACGAAAAAAAATAATCAACCAAAAACTGTGTTTTAATTTAGAGTCGATACTGAAAATCCATTTCATACTTTCTGGTAACCAAAGCAACACATTTGAGTCCTGTATCCCTTTGAAATGTCCCAAAAATGGGAACTAGGGATACATGTACGCAAATATGCATATAGGCCTTTATACTCACTTATGTAGCAGCACTTTCATAAAGGTGAGTACACACGGCATGACAAATTAACTGGCGTCGTTGTTCAATGCAACTCGTATGATGGATAGCCATGCCGGCGCCAATGACGACTCTAATTTTGATGACCATTTACCCCTAGTACGTACATTACTACAAGCGAACTGCAATGTGTAATGTGTGTACCTAGCTTATACTGGACGGATGGAATTAAAAGGGATGTGTTTACAATGTGTAGTGATTATTGAATTGCTGCTTTGTAAGATTTGTTCTGTTGAACGGTTATGAGAACAAATCGTGATATTGATTCTGGTCTTGAGATATTCAAACTACATGCATAATGAAGAGGTAAGAAAGCTCAGCTTTGGAACATCAGCAATTTAACGGTAGCCACGTTAAATTATACCTCTTAACTGTACCTAAAACCACACCATGGACTGAAAAATACATTACTTATACAATATTATGAAAACGCATAGCGACATAGCATTCAAGTAGGTAAGTAT